ATTATGTGATTAAATGTAATAGGGACAGGAGGCGTTTTTTTTCGGAGGGACTGATCATATTTTTCGTTTTTCATGTGGACGGTTAAAAAGCGGACGGTCCCTGACATAAAGCGACGCAAATCCGCCTTTTGTTCTCGCCGTGGAGCTGACCACGGTGCTGAAATGGGTCCACTCAACTCGTGACACACTAGCATGGCTACAATGTTCCCTCACTGAGTGGGGAAAAAACACATTATTTCTATAAGTGTGCTGGAAATTGCAGGAGCCGTAATTAGGGACACACACACACAAACACACGCCCTCTGTGAAATCACGACAGCATGTAAACAATGAGCCCACATGACACACAGGAGGCTGCACACACCCGACGTGCGCACACGACACTTGAAAGGAGTCACGACCTGGTCCTGCTCGGCTTCACACACACATCATGGTGTTTATTTAGACACACACAGCTCAAAGCTCCGAGCACAGGCTGGACTGTTAATTCCTGTATTTCCCACAGCACAATATCTGCTCGGCTTGTCTCTAACGTTAAGACTGCCATCTGCCATCAGACACTAAATCCTATCTGCCTTCCGCCCTCCAGCCCCAGAATAAGCCCACAGAGCTGCAGCTCTTCATCTGACTTTAACCAAATATAGATGAATGTTAACTGCGCTGCTTCGATAACGTGATTTGTGTCACTTTGACAATGGATGTCGTTTTTATTTTATCTCAAAGTGAAACCAACAACGACATCTGGTGACGAGCTGCAGACACAGATGATGCTGCTGCTGCTGCTCATGTTGCTCTCAGTCTGTGACTTTGCAAAAGATTCTGTATCTGAACCTTAAATGGGGTTTTGTGCCTAAAATACTGGTGCGAGAAGTAGACAGATCCTTTATTTAAATAAAAGTTTGTTTGTTTTTTGGATTGTTGGCTTGACTAGTTAGTTTTTTCTGCTCTGAGTGCTTCTTGTTGAATTAAATCAAATTGTTAAATTGCATCTATCTGGATATAATGCAGTTCTATGTCTAAACACATAAAATAAAATAAAATGAAAGCAACGTAAAAAATTCTATAATACAAGTAAAAAAAATATGATTTGAGCTATAGACTAAAATGACTTTAGATTTTTCTAAGGAGCAAATGCATCATAATCTAAAAGGTGGTCATTTGTTTTGTATGAAAAATCTTAATTGGTAACAAGTATTCCTACGGCTGTTAAATACATGTAGTGAAGTTAAAACTACATTATTTCCATTGGAAGTGAAGTAGTTAGTTATATAGTAGCAGGAAATGGAAACATTAAAGTAGACAGTGTTGGGAAGATTATTTTTAAAATGTTATATGTTACAGATTAATAGTTACCCTGTTAAAATCTAATAAGTAATCTAACTAATCTAATTTTTTTCATTAAAATAATACTTATTACATTTGATTACTTTTCAAGCAAATGTTTTAATCTGGGCAATAAAGCTGAAAAAAGTCTTGAAACAGACAGAATGAATGTAATTTTCTACATATAAACTTCTTACTGAAAAGCATACTTCAGATATAACACCTTTCTACTCACTAATACTTTGATTAGTAACTGTAAACTAATAAAAAAATATCTTAGTAACAGTAAGAGACTACAATGCCATAGTTACTCCCCAGTAACAGTATGTGAGTAGTTATAATCTACCACTGGCTTTAAATGAATGACATTTCCTGGAGCCGTAAAACACTCCACAAACAGCCTGATCGAGGTCATGACATCAATGTGTCTCTAAACTTTAGTGATTTGGAATCTTTCAGAAATTTCTCACAGTATTTTTGGAGATACACATCTGTCTGACAGGACATAAAGCAGCTGATGCACAGGACCAGCTGTGAGATATTGTACTTAAATAAACACACAACACAACCTTGTTTTATTTTGGACAATTTTTTATTTCACAAAAATGTGCTTTTTTTTTTACATATTAGAGGTGTATGAATGAGTGTGCATGAGTGATAGAATATAAAGTTTATAAAGTATATCATTCTGAATGTACTTACTCACAGTGGCCTCTCTGTCCATCCTCCCTGCTCCCCTGTGACTCCTCCTAAACACACAAACAGAGAAATAAACTATTAAAACATTTCATATTCTGCAGCCTTTGTATTGATGCTTGGGTTTCCTGCTGGTGGCACTCAGTTTCTGATGTATCAAACTGGAGGCTTACTCAGCTGCTGCTGTGCAGCCTTCACGTCAGATCATGAAGAGCCATCACTAGGAGAGACTGTGCAGGATTCAAAGAGGTGAGCCACCACAGCATCCACCCCCCTCCTCTTCCTCCTCCTCTTCTTCTTCTTCCATCAGGAACATGTGGAAAAGGTTCCCATCACATCAGACACATCAAAGTGAGGCTGTGGATCCCTGAGGATGACAACAGGAGGAGGGAGGGGATGAAACGGGAAATAGGTTAAAATTCATTTTTTTCTACCTCAGGATAAATTAATACACAAAAATATATAGTTATATCAGCCATCATGGCGCACTTTAGTACTTTGAGCGCAATCAACACTCTCTGTGACCAAAGAGTGTGTGTGGTGCTCCTCGTCTTACAGTGCGGACTAATGAAGTGAAAGTGATCCTGAAAAGATCTGCTGACATCTGGCGACGGCTGCCTCACCTGCGTATTATCAGTTACATTTATTATCTGCCTGATCACAGCTTCCTGCCTCGTAATAATGAACTCCGCACAATAACTGCGCACTATTTTAATACGTACTAAAACGTCGAAAACACTGAATCAACTTAAACTTCACTTTTCCGTTTTAATATTCCGTCTAACACCGGATTTTGCAAAGCTGCACGAGTGTTAATCAAAATCGAGCCTCATGTCCCTGAACAAAGGCTGTGATGATTAGAGAGCACGTCTTGATTAAAGCCAGTAACACTCGACTTAATTATTAGAGCCTTTTTAAAGCTGCAATGTGGATGTAAAATACAAATTTCTGCGTGTTGTTTAAAGACACGAATTCTTTTTACACGGTTTTACATTCACAAAATTCAGATCAATTAAAGTTTGGGAGTATAACTGGGTTAATGTGATGGTTTAATTAATTTATTGACTCTAAGAAGAAACATCTATTTTGATAAATGTCATAAAATATTTTTTTAAATCACACTGCAAGGCACTAAATTTTTTAAGTCCAAAAGTCTAATTAATAACATTTGATTTTCTGCAAATTAAATACTTGTTTTGTAACTGCCTAATCAATACCCCTGATTATCACTTTGTCTTGTCTGAAGCTGTGTGAACTCAGTTTGGCCTCAATTTAAAAGTCCCTCACATTCCCCCTCTTAGAGAGGCAGGAGTATTTGAGGAGCCAGCGAGACTTCTACTGTGCCATGATGGAAACAAACATCTGTCCTCCCACAGGGAAACAATGAACCCTCAACTGGAAATGTGTTCATCACACCACCAGTGCAGAAAAACAGAGACGTGGATGTGAGGAAGGATTTAGCTTTAATGCTCAATGTTGGAGAGGCAGTAAAACTGCATATAAATAGATCTGGTAGCTGATTTGTCATTTTTAAAAAGGTCAGACTAAGACTAACACAGGCAACGTGCTAACTACGTAATCAGTGGAGAATATGCTCGGAATAATGGACTCCACTGAGAATATCACAATGTAGAAATCTATTCTTGTTCCAGGCCAACTTTGAACCTATGCACAAATGTTAGATTGCACCACTAAAAGCAAACTAAAGAGAAAATACTAAGAGTGTAATAGTAACCTATACAGAGTTTAGGGTCAGTTCAGTTAACTGCTGTCTGAGACAGAAAATGAAAACTTTTAGGCTTTACTGTAAATTAACCAAATGGGGTGATATTAACAAACAACATCCACACAGGCTTAAATATGCAATGTCGGTGTGGACTTTCCTTCATTAGGTTTTCATCTTTGTGGATTTAGTTTAAAAACCTAATTAAAAATATAAATATAAAACACTGACAATTTAACTCAACCACATATATTTATTTCTATTATTTTTTATAGGCTTTTATAATGTGAAAACATTATTTTTTCTTTACAAAACTGCAGCATCTTCATAAAAACAATGCATTTTATTTACTATTTAAATTGTACCTAAGTTAGAGGAGTTACGGCTATTTTTATTCTTTGAGTATTTACTTTTACCTCTCTGGAATAATGTTGTATTATGTTGTGACAGCAGCATATTTTAGACCTGAACTGACATCACACCCTTACCTAGGATTTTAATTCAATTTTGTGAGTATATCGAAAATACTTCACCCGCTAAATAACCATTTGTAAATCAATTAGTCATGCTGTGTTACCTTGGGTTTGTGAAGAATACTTTGTCTGTCTCACTGCTCCAGAGACAATGGCACACATATTGATGTATCAATTGATTAGGGGACAACATTTAACCCCAAGAAAATGACATCAAAAGATTTGTTTGCAAATTCTTACACAACTTGTGCAGTATAATCCAAGTCTCATTTATCCAGTTGTACACTCAGCACCTCCGAAACATGAATTTTCTTTAAAAAAAAAACAAAACCTTAGTACTGGAGTGTGGCAAGAGAGCAAAGATAAGTTAGACTTTCAGACCAGTCTTACATAGTAATAATTTAGTGAAAATGCATGTGTTTGGGGAGGAACTGAGCATGCAACTGGCTAAATGAGACTCGGATTATAGTGCACGAGTTGTGTGAGAGTTTGTGAATAGATGTTTTGGTATAATTTTGCTGTTGATAAGCATGGTTGCCAATCAATCAATAAAGGTTTACTGTAGAGGCATGTGAGAAAAAAACAGTTTTCTTTACTAATTCATGGTAACATGGCATGACTGACTGACACACAAATGGTCATCTTGTGGGTGAAGTATTCCTTTAAATATTGCCCTCAGATAGCCAAGAATCATCCTACAAAATGCATTAACTCACTCAAGTGTCATGGCTAGATGATGACTAATAGTTAGGGCTGTGGAAAGGATCAGAGGAAATAAAACAACACAATTTTTCAAACTCAGATTTTATTAGTCAATACAAGTAAAACGAAACTGAAGCCGAGTATCTTCATCCCCTCCAAAAATGCACTTCTTCTGCGTCGGTGTTGAGAGGCAGGAAAAGAAATAACTTTCACACCTCTCTCTCTCCCCGTGAATAGACATGTGCCGCTCTCCTTCATGGAACTTAACGAGACGTAAAACTGTTGCCGGAGGGATCTTAGGTACTGGCGGAGAAAGCATCGCCTCACAAATATAGAACATTCGGAGTTGGAACAGTGACAAAATAATTTCCCTAAATATGCTAACGAGTACTGTAGAAGGAACATAAACTCTATAACATACACTCTGTTTTTCATAACCAAAGCGATTTAATTTAAATGGATGTTTTACCAAAAGCTACTGGGAAACTGCTGCTGTGAAGAGAAGCAGTAAAAACTGCTCGCTGACAAACTAAATAACAGCAGAAACATTGCACCAACTACATTCTTTTCTTACTCTCTCAGCAAAAATAACTTGTCGGACTCAAACTTCTGTTACTTACACTTGAGCGCATGCACACGCATACCATGCACACACTCTGACCTTTATCAAACTGACTGCCCAATTACATATTTAATGCAATGCTTCATACTTGAGCAAATAACACAAAAAAGTGAATTATATATATCCACCTCTTATTTTCTTTAATCTTCTGTCTTCACTCTTCAGCTCAGCAGCCCTCTCAGAGCTCCTGGTGTTGTCTCTTGTTCTCCTCCACATCCTTTATTCTTCGCCATTCACATTTTCTGCTGAATTAGTTCATCTTTACCCTCGTCTCCTGGTGCCCTCCTCAGTATCTGCACTTTCACCCACCCAGATTTTCACAGGTTTCTGCTGGCATGGTGTGGACCTTGACACTGAGTGACTAGCTGAACAGTCTTAAAGGCCCTGCCTCTGCCTTCATGACATCCACAGTGATATGCTACGTGTTCAGTTAGTACCTTGGGGGTGGAAAGGGTCTTTTTGGTGGGAACATTGGACCAGGACTCCCGCCTCCTCTTGGACCTGGACGTTTGCCTCTTAACCTTGGATCGGGGCCGCGGAAATGAGGAAATGGAGCACGTGGGGGCGGTCCTCTGAGGCGTGGGTGGTGTGCTGGGTGGGGAGGCCGATGGGGAGGCCGATGTGGAGGCCGATGTGGAGGCCGTACACCAGGATGACGGATTTCAAAATTAGATGGTGGTGGTGGTCTCCTTGGAGCGTAGTGCAGAGGAGGGGGGCTGTGCCGCTGGAAGTCGTGGCCGTAGTAAGCGTCTTCTGAGGGTGAGACAGGGGGAGTGAGGTGCCCCCGAACTCTGGGGAAGTGGTGCGGAGGGCTCCCTGGCCTGTGATATGGATCGTCTGGGTGGTGGTAAGGGTCGTCTTGAAAGAAATGGGCATCATGACGACGAGGCTCATCCTGATAATGCAGATCTTCTGGGTGAGGGTGAAAAACCTCTTGCTGAGGAGGGTGAGGTTGGTCACGATCATATGGCGGCTCATCAGAATGAAACATGGATTTGTGTTGATGGTCGTGGACCACCATCCCACTGATGACACTGTCGCCTCTGGCCCCCATCATCTCCCCTGCTCCTGCACTAGGCACTGGCTGCCGTACTGACTGCTGCTCTGGCGGCATCATCATTCCACTGTTCACGGGAGGAGGGGCATCAAAGACACGAGGAGGGGGAGGGAGCTTTGGGATAGGAGGAAGGTTACTTCTGAACATACCAGGGGCTGTGGTGGCACCCTGCTGGGAGGCCAACTCTTGAGGTTCCTGAAATGTCTCTGTTTGGTATGGAAAAAGTCCTGACGTCTTGTTTTCTCCAGCCCCTCCAGGCGCTGTCACATTGTAGCCTCTAGGTTGCTGAGAGCTGCCCTCCGGGTAAGTGTCACCGTACCAACCCCTTTCACTCACCCCCTGAAAGCCCTCCAGTGTCTGTGTGCTACTGGTGCTGCCTGGGGCTCTTTCTCCAGGCACTGGCCCTCCTGTTTGTGCAGATATCTGCTGATAGTGTGCAACAGGTGCAGTAATCTCATGCTCTGACATCTCATGTTTGCCATATGGGTACGGCTGGTAGACCTGCCCATTCTGAGGCACACCTGGCTGCAGGTGAGCTTGCTGTGGAGGATTGTTGCGGTTCTGCTGACTGCTGTTCAGGTATGCAATAGCAGCCGTTTCTACAGTTTCTTTAATCTGTGGCTCATTTATGTTGGATGTATATGGGATCACGACACGCTTGTCCATAATCTCATCTTGCGTTGGGGTGCCTCCGCCCTCGTCCCGCACTGGGGTCCCACCCTGGGTGTCTGTCCCTGTTACTGGGCTGAAGTTATCCCCTCCCGGCACTGGGTTTGTAGAAAGACCCAGGCCAAGTGCATTAAAAGCAGGGTTCCCCTGCAGGAAGCTGTGGATTTTAGACTCTAAACTCTTAGAGGACAAGGTTGGTTCTGACTCTGTTGTCAAATCCATATTTCTATGGAGAGCCTGAACCAGGGCAGAGGCTGGGTTGGAAGTCTGAGGGGGGGCTTGGGAGCTTGTGCTCTGCCTTGCAGTGGATCTGTGTGAAGAAGGCACATGTGCAACAGAGGGGAGAGACGGGCTCTGAGAGGGTACTGCTGATGCAGATGTGGATGAGGAAGAGGGAAGAATCTTGCCTGTACTGGAAGAGTCTGAGGAAACATTTGCAGCTGGGCTGCCCCGAAGAGAAGTGATGCCTAATGAAGAAAAGGAGAATACAGAAATGTATTTTGAGCAACCTTGAGGCTTTTGATGTATGATATAAAACTGACACTTTTTGTTTTCAAACTGAACAAACAGCTCTATCTTCTCACCCTCAAGGCTGCCTTGGCCCTGGACTTTGGAGAGAGCACCAAGGAGGTCTGCAGGACTCACATCCACCTTGGAGAGGAGGCTTACCAGTGAACTGGCACCCTGAGAGGCCACAGAGGCAAGTGTAGTCTTCAATGAGGAGCCAGCAGGAGCAGCTGCAGAGGGACTCTCCACTGGTGGTGCTGTGAGACACAGAGGGACACTCATTTTAATTTTATACCACCATAATTGGTCAGTGAGGTGACCAAGTGTGTTTTAGCAGCAAAAGAACTAAAAGTTTATCAGAAAAAATAGGACTATTACAGGAGTAATCACAGTTATAATTCAGAGTGGGTATTGTTTAAAAAATTATGATACCTGTACCAAGACTAGTGCCCTAAAAATCAATACCAATACCAATAGAATATTTCATTTGATATCCATAGGGTGAATGGATGTATGCCTGTAGCCATATCTCTGAATGTTTTGGTGGCATCTCGGTACACTGGACTGCCAACCCTGTCAAATACACTACACTTGACTTCACCACTCTACAGACTGTATGGTTTGGGGACAGTTGTGAGAGTGTGTGTTAGCTTGTGCTAACAGACAGATGTTGAACTGACCTTCTGGTGTGACGGGACGGTTGGGGATAAGAGCCCCGGCACAAAAAAGAATCAAATGCAGGTATTGTTTGACTGTAGACGTTTCAGTGCTACTTGGTGGTAGGTTATTTCAGTTGATTTCTTATCTGTATCGAGTGCCGGCCCTAGCTCTATTTATTATCGGGAATTTTTTTTTGTGGGATATCAGAGGTGAATTTGAATTCAGACTTGTTAAGGTATGTGTTGAAGAGATATTAGGGCAGGGGAAAGTTGTTCATAGCAGACGTAGACAGACACCATCCAATCATCTGTGATAACATTTTCTTTTTTCTTAGTATGTGACAGAACATATATATTCTGAATTTGTTGTTTAATTTTTTACATTTTCTAAAGAGCGGTTTTATTACAGTTTCATTATGATTTTTAAAAAGTACCAGCACTCACCTGTGTTCTTCATGACTGAGTTTACACTGTTGAGGATGGAGCCAATTTTACTCAGGTCAACGCCTTCCACTGCTGCTGCTGCTGCTGCTGCTGCTGCTGCTGCTGCTGTTGTTGTAGGTGCTGCTGCTGCTGCTGCAGGAGCCATGATGGGCTGCTCTGTTGCCACTACTGACTCCGTTTTTGAAGAGGACAGCCTTGGCTCGGTGAGGCATTCAACCTGCTCCTCAACTGAGGACAAAAAATACAGCAGTGAGACACTATTTAATACAACAAGACAACTACAGTTTTTTGTAATTAGGCGACACAATTAATTTTGTCATTGTTCTTCTCCAAGTGCACTTTATTTGAGACAGGAGAAGACACTACTAATAAATTAATGAAGGAGAGCATGCTGCCAAAAACACTGAAACAGTCTCTTCAGCTTTCCTTGAAGAACTAAATTGTGACACACAGGTCACCCATCTAAAAAATGAAGTCTGAATAAAAAAGGGTTTTGTGCAGCGGTTATTTTAACCAAGTTAAAATACAAACCTTCCTTATGTGCTGTAATGACAAATAATCCTATCCTGACTTTAAAATATTGTGTGTGATGGTGAAATAATGTAGGGCTGCCTAAACAATTATTTCATTATCAGTTAATCTGCTGATTGTATTCTCAATTCATCTGATTAATTGTTTTTCTCTAAAAAAAAAAAAAAAGTCAGAAAATAATAAACGCCCAGTTAACAGTATGACTAGAGGATTAAAAGCTAAATAAAAGGGTAAATCATACACATGAAACAGTGTAACAATAAAAATGGCCAATCAACAAAAATCAGTACATGTACTTGCTGGTAAAAAGTAATATTCAACCCAACAGAGTTGAGTGTGGTAGTTCACACAGATCCTGTAAGGTAAGCTGCAGGTGTTGTACCTGAACATAAAAAACTGTAAAATGGCAACATATGGCTGTCTGTAGTTGTAAAAATGTGTCTAGTTTTAATTACATGGCCACAGAGAAAACTTATGTCAGTAAAATTGGCTATAACACAAATTAGCAGAAATACTTGAATCTTCTTTGTTGACATATGAAGGCTGTAGCCAGTTCTACACTGCTTGTTCAAGGTGGACATGTTGTGCAGTTATTGTGCCTTGCCGTTCTGTATAAAACGTATGAAATGGTTGGGACATCGTCATTACACCTTTATGTTATGCCATCCTTATTGTTTAGAAAGCAGTGTCTGGCGCATATGTTATATGTTGCTCTAGAGGTAGTCACTTTTGCGTTACACGTCACAACCGTCACCCTTCTTTTGCTTCTGGAGTGCAGGCATGCTGTCTAAAATCACACACTGGGGCAGCCTTAGGCCAGCATTGCTTGCTAGCAGAAAGCAATGTCGACATAATGAAGGGTCTTTGTTGCAACGGTGTTGCTGGTTCTCTGTGTAAAAAGGGCTTGTAATAGAAGATGTGTGTGATTGAGTGACCTCACTTATCTAATTTGGTGGAGCTTATCCTTTACCTGATTTTAACACATTGTCTGCACAACGCTGCCAGACAAATAAGCATTTAGAAAAAGAAATATTATATTTATAAATATTACGACAACATTATAAAAAGGATCCCTACAGAGATAGACTTTTTTGTCAAAGAGTAAGATCCTTTTTGTTAAAAGACTAAGATCCTTTTTCTTTAACCAGAAACAACCTCCAAATTGCAATCAACAAAGCCGCCAGACTCCATTAACGTAAACAGTAATTTTGTCATGGCAAAACATACTTATTTCAAATTGATAGAAACAAAAAACACCCAAAAACCATCTTGGTTGATCTCTTTACTGTTTCAGCAATCAACAAAATGTGGTTGGGATGAATTAAACAGTCAAGTCATCCACTTAGATGTGAAAATATGCTGTTTGTATACACGCTAAAATTAACGTTTATTTAAATGGTGTCTGGTGGCTTTGACAATCCACAATTTCAGGGCTGTTTCTGGTTAAAAAAAGGATCGTACTCTTTAACAAAAAAGTCTGACTCTGTAGAGATCCTTTCCATAATGTTGCCAGACTTTTATAATAATAACAATCTCAGCCAGTCAGTGGCAAAAACAAGTACTTTGAGTGGAAGCACATTGACAGTGCAAGCGTGCCCTGTGTTAACTGTGCTGCCCTCTCGCTCAGTGCTGGACCAATTTCAAAAATAGTTGGTCCCTTTTAGTCAATTCGACACAAAAACATGGGAAAATAGGCTCCAGGTTGAAAAATACCCAAGTTACCCTCATCAGTCCACTCCTTACCTATAATGCCACCACTGTCCATTTCTTCCTCAGAGAGCTCCATGTCTTCCACGTCACGATTATCATTCTGCCCGACAGACTCCACGTGTTTGGGGGATCCTCCCGGTGAGGACAGAGGGCTCGGGGCCGGTGGCTCTGCCTCGTCATCCATAGCAGAGCCATCAAGATCTGGATCAGGATTGGATAATTCCAGACCATGGAAAGGGGACTCTGATCCTGTGGGAGATGGTGCGTCTGCCGAGGGTGAGGGGATAGGGGACTCATCTAGGTCGGGCAAGGTGGCCTTCAGGCTGTCCAGTTTACGCTTCAGGTGGGTTACCCTGTTGGCGAACGTCTGGTAGGCCTTGAGAGGAGAGGTAATGGAGTGTCAGTAAATTAAACACAGGCAACCAACAGCTTTAATAGCCAGATTACAATTCAATTCACAAACCCGGAAATTATTAAATACCACTTTTTTCCCCCACACATCAGTTGTAGTACTGTTTTTGCATCGTCCTTGTACACATAAGCTTTTATGCATGACCATGTGTGCTTTCCATCTCATCTTAAATTTATGCTCACACTGCCATAAAACTGAAGGAATTATTTTGAACACACGGGTCAACACACATCATTTTCATTTTGTCCTTCACACATACACTGGTGCAAGGTGGTTTTCAAGCTGGCTGTTGATGAACATGTCTCCTCATCTGCTAGGCTGACGTGTGGTGTGCCCCAGGGTTCAATCCTTGGTCCTATTCTGTTCTCCCTGTACATGTTTATGTTTTTGTCTCCTCACCACCCTGAGTTGCTCCTTTGTGTCTCAGCTACAGTTGGTCCAAAACGCAGCTGATAGACTTCTGACTAGTACACAGCTTAGGTCACACATTACACCAGTGTTGGCCAATCTACACTGTTAACCCATAAAATGCAGAATTGATTTTAAAATGTATTTCTTTCTTATCACCTATAAAGCACTACACGGCCTGGCTCCAACAAACAAAGGTGAAATAATTCTACTTGAATCCATGTTCATAAATGACACAGATGTAGCATTGTGAACAAACTTATAGTTGCAGAAGTGTGAAGATGTGATCCTGTGTGACCATTACAACAAATCCCGGACAACAAATATACCACTACTCACATTAGCAACAATCTTGACCTCCTTGTACTGCATCTCGTAGAAGATATCTGCATTGCTGAGGGCCTGCATTAGAGGAGGCCCTGTTTTGATTTGTTTTTCATAGAACTTGACAAACTCCTGTAGTTGCGCACTTCCTTCCTCAAAGTCCTTGGAGAATTTCTTTCCTCCGGCCTTATCTGTAAGAATCAAGAATGTAAGGATGATTTTTGAAAGAAGAGAAAGAGAAAAAACACTGCTGATCTTAGAAGCAAGAGCCATCTGTGTGTTGCAGTAGGACAGATGGTACAACAGTAGAAGATGACTAGAGCGGGTACCTTTGAGTCTCTTGAGGGCATCAGAACTGCAGATGTCAATCCTCATAGCTGCCAGCTGTTTTTCTCTCAGGTCCACCTCCTCCAGAGATTTCTTGTACTTGGACAGATCGTCGATAAATGCCTGGGGCTAAAGCAAAGGGAGCAGTCAGCCACAATGTGAGACCAACATAATATTAGAGTAAAGGAGAAAAAGAGGAAAAACTACGAGCATAACTACTTTTATCTGGATACTTTGCCATTTTCAATCAGGTCTGTATCATTACAATGTGGGTATGCGTGAGTGAAATATAATAAACTTCCCTCCATCTTGACAGAGCCCGGATCTAATGCTCTAGGGCTGTTGCTTGAACTACAGATCATACTTCCACATTAGGACACACAGAGTGTGGATGCAGATCTAGAAAGAGCCGCCTTTCTCCTTAACTCAGACCAAACTCAAATCAAACTGTAAAACTAGGCACGGCTGATCAAATATAAACCAAGATTCTGTTACTGCATTGGTCATTATTTGCCAAAAATTTTATTCTTTCTCTCTTCTTCTATTTTAGTTCAAATCTGTGTCACAATGGACAAACTCACATTATGTCACCCACCAGCGTGAGTGTTAATTGGTCCAGTGCAGAGCAGTGCATTCTGGTAGTTCTAAAAATCTTTTTACCTTGTGAGCAAAAGCAAATGCCACAGCCTTTATTCTTTTCCTCTGTTATCTCTGATCATGTGGCACCAATGTCAAAAGTATTTGTGTCTTTCTACTGCATAAACAAGTTAGTTTTATGAAATTTAAGTTGTAAAATAACAGCGTTGCAGTTATGTTCTGCTTAAAACTTGAATTTCTTGCTTACCACAAACTCAGCAACAATTTTGGACTGTAGATCTGCTCTAGACTCAACTGGAGCTTTAAAAGAAACAAGAATGAACATTAGAAATCACATCAAACATACTTACAAAGATTTGCAACATTCAGCAGTATTTCCCCACCATTATCAGGGGGGCATCTTGCTCCACCTATTGGAATTATTGATTTAATTCATTTGTTTTTTATAATTAATATTAAGAAATAAACTGGACATTTAAGGTTGAAATAATTAGAGTTGGGCATCGCCACTGATCACACGGGGTTACATAAGAATAAATCTATAGTAGGTAACCAAAATCACAGTGGATGCAAAGTCTATGAATGACATGTTTTTCCAGAAGTTAAGATTTAAAATAAAATCAAAACCTTTCAATACTGGTGTCGAGACGAGGTATTAATATGTCAAGAGAAAGTGAGGGGAAAAAAAGGCGGAGACACTTACTTTTTTGCTCCACGGGTGTCTCAGGAGGGGACTCCTCTTTGACTAAGCTACTCCTCAGCTCAGTAATGAGTGTCCCTGAATACACACCCCTGTCCTCCCATATGGTCAGTATCCTCTCCACCGCTTTAATTACCTTGGTGTCACCTTCATTGCTGGGGGAAGGAGAAAGAATGACAGAATAAGAACGAGGGAGCGCAGGGATTAATGTTTTGTTGTTGTAATGACATTTGTGTTTTGTGTGTGAAGGATTTCTCTGAATGAATAAAACAAAAAACAAGGACAGAGGGAACAAAAAGGGAGAAATAAAAGCTAAAGTCAAAAGATGAGGTCAAAATGAAGGAGAGGAAGAACAGGGCAACATACACAAACATCACTGCATCTCATATACTGACATTACATCAGGACTGACTGATATCACAGACTAATAAGGACAGTTATTTTTGATAGAGCTGAGCCCTCGATAAAACCACATCTCATCAAACTACTTACTTGATCAGCAAGAAGGCCTCAGGGAGGATCTCGGCAAATGCTGTACGGTAAACTATGGCATTTTTCCTTTTACAGGTCTGAATGACATCGTTGGCAACGTAGAAAAGGTTGAGTCTGTGTGCTGCATCAGCTGTTAGAGGAAAAGAGAGACAATAATGTTAGTTTAGTAGGAGGGCAGAAGGGTTGAGTCTAGATGGGAACCCCAGATTCACGAAAAAGTCTCTTTAAGTACTTCTTGTACCTCAACCTAACCAGATCATAACCCCAGAGTTAGCACTAGGGATGGGAATTGAGAACCAGTTACAATTGAAAATTGGTTCCAAATTTTTCAATCCATCAAAATCGTTTACCTCTGAGCATATCAATTGCTTTCATTGATACCAGCATGTATTTCTGACAGTTGCTCAGTGCTAAACAATGATTTCAAACTGACGTCTACGCTGCTGGAAATGTGCAACAAGGAGTCATGGTGGAAAGAAAGAAATGGTCCACAGTGTGGCCTCTTTTTTATGAAGAGTGCTGCTTGTAATGTCTGTCTATAGAATGATCATTTCAAGTAAGTGCAATTTGCTGAAACATCTTTCTATGCAACATGGACTTCAATTCCAGGGATGCCATGTATTAACACTCCACAGACTAGTGCAGCTGCATCACAATCAAGCAGCATGTCTGTTACCATGGGTAAATATAATATGGTATAATAATATTAGTGCCACACAGGCAAGCTTTGTGGATTTTTCCTACCCATTCATCCATTTTAGATAATAAAAGACTGTTGCATGTACGCCTTTTTTCTGTTTCTATGCAGAGAATAGAATCAGCCAGATAGGCTGAACAGCATTGGTATCAATAAAATCTTATAAATTCCCCTCCCTAGTTGGAATAGTATACAACAGCAAGACAAGAATATTCTAAAGCAGCTCACGAGAGTTTGACAAATCTAGGGTTACCATGTAGACACAAGTGGTCAGAGGTCTGCTGACAGAAAGTCTGAGATTAAATAATATCTTTTAGCACTTTTTAAATATTTGTACACACCAGTTGTGCTGCAAGGTATTGACTATTTTCATGATTAACTTACCAATATTTGACTAAAATGTTAAAATGACAAGCATTAATTACTTATGAACAGAACCCAAACAAACGTAGAGCAGCCAAACAAAAGAACAAATTCATTTTGTAATGGCATTAAATAAGAAATGCAAACAACTCTTAACATTTATTAAATTGTAAATCTAAAATGTTTGGCATTTTTACTTAATAAATAAAAATTACAATTAATAAATCACACTAATTAACTTAAAGATACAAGACACAACTATACATGGCAACGGCTATTCATGAATTATTAAAACTGTGACTGAATCATTCTCAATCAACAAACGTGCTTTGATAGAGATCCAAAGTGATCAGAAGGCCAAAAGAAAGCAAGTCATTTAAAAGAAAACACGCAGTCAAAGCTATAAGACTTTTAACCTACAAGAAGAAGACAATTCAACATAATATTATAACAGAGAGAGATCAAGAGAGGGAGTGAAATAACAGCCTATTTAGTTTCCACACACATGGGACTGAGTGCAATTTGAAATGTTTTGATAGCAGAGCAAACATGATACCAGAGTTCTGGTACAGACACCAAATCAATACTTCACTGACTGACCACATCTTTTCCAACAGAATCTTTTCTATAAATCAAACAGCTGCGTAATGCTATATCATAGCAACACTAACAGCTAATAAAAATGTTAAATAACTCCATTTATAGATTCAATTACGGTAATTTGTGTACTGCAAAGCAAGACATTAGAAAATTGATTATCTTGTTTAAAATTAATTCATTCATACATAGCATTTCAATATTAACTGTGAGGAAAGCATGAAACATCATATCTTCAAAAACATCTGATTTTAACTCACAGCCGACAAATTTACATGAAAAATTTCCACTGAATTGTTTAAATCCTCCAGGTGATATAAGAAAGACAAGGTTCTTATTCATACCACAAACTTCAGGAGTTTCAACACTTGGCATCCAAAACAGCACAAAGAGCTGTTTTAAACCATTAAAAAATCTATTCATGTGCTCACACTGTCCATCATTTGTATTCAAGTGTTCCCCACCAGCCACCATCACTTTCAAGTTATCGAAAGGCAAACTGACAGTTACATTAAACACAATTAACAACACACTACTTTAAACACAAACGGCAAGCTGAGAGAAAGACGGACAAACACGAGCCAATGCCGCCTCTCTTTTTAGAAATTATCGGAGAAAAACCAAAGTCTACCGGCCAACCATGACATGGAAGTCTATAATGAAACTCTGAAATTGTTTTGGACCATCAAAAACACAAAATAGCATGCTTAATGCAAGCAGACCACTCACACATTTATTTCATTTCAAACAAACAGCCGTTTCTATGACAGAAAGCACACAAATCTCCAATATTTAAAAACAAGGAGCTCTTCAGGTTAGCATAACGGCATCTGCATCAACATCTCTAAATAAAATTAAGTGTTAATTGTCTGTTAAGTGTATTTTGACTGCTACTGCAGGCAGCTACAGACAATTTATAAAAACAGATGGCTCCAGGAACCATGAGCTGACAGAAAAAATATTAAGACTGACCCAAATTCTGAAAATGGGACAGTCTGATCACATGTGATAAACTAGCAAGATGTCAAAAAAGTCAAGCCTCTGGAATAGTTTCAAAATTTGCAAAGATGACCCCCAAAAAGCTGTGAGCCAAATATGCCAACAGAAACTGGCCTATCACAACTGTAGAATGAGCTTGGTAAATTGCCTGAAAGCTCTAAGTGACAGCTAAGCCATCCTGCAAGGTGTTATTTTTTTTTTCAGCTGCCGTGGCTGATGCTACTGCGACCTGCGTGCTAACAAAGTGGCTAACTGTCACATTATTTTAGGTGCATTGTCTGAAAACAGATGTTTCAAAAAAGTCCGATTTGTCTGTCCATCAGTGTTAAGCCCAGAATGACGTCCTCAAATGTCTTGTTTTGTCCACAACACAAAGATATTTAATTTATTGTCATAGAGAAGTAAGGAAACCTGAAAATATCCACAGTTAAGAAGCTGAAGTCAGAGAATTTTGACTTTTTTTCCTTTAAAAAATTACTCAAACTGATCAATGAATCATCAGTTTAGTTGGCAATTGTTTCAATAGTTGACAACTAATCGATTAATCGTTGCAGCTCTAATGTGCTTTACATAAAAATTACATATAACAATAAACCAAGTGCAAGTACAGAATCAGTGCAGTGAACATACAAATACAAAGTATACAACAAGATACACAAGATAATTTCAGATAATTCGGGTATTAAATGGTATTTAAGAGGTCACAAAACCTCTTAAATACTATTAGTGATTGATTTTTTTTTTTTTTTTATAATTAAGAAATATACTCAGTCAAATAAACAGCTATGTAACCAAGGCCAAGAAGAAGACAATGCCACAGAAGACAACGGCATACTGCAACCCTGGACTGAAAAGCCCAATCTGTTACTGCAAAAGACCAGTCCGGTCCGGTGACAAACTTAATGATCAGTCTTCACAACTGTCTTTTGCTCTTTGCTCACATTAAGAAGCAAACGAAGCTCAAGTTACACACAGCCAAACCAATGAAACAGAAATAGAAACACAGATGATGATTGCTTCATGTGAGTCTTGTACAAGGTACAAAGCTGGGAAAAGCTGTAAGTGCTATGCCAAGTGTCTACTGACCCCCCTCCCACTGTGGAAAGTGATCAGAAAATTCATCATCATGCTTCAGTCTTTGTATTTGAGTGGGTTATGATGTCTGTTCACTGGGTTTTCTTCACATTTGCAACATCTATCATTTCCTTTGCTACTGTCCTGTAAATCAAGCAAAACATCAGTTGCAAGTTATTTTCATTATCAGTGGTTGAATTTTTAAACTCCATGATTAATTACTCTATGAAATATCAAAAAATTATTAGAAATGCCTAACAAGTTACCAGAGAGCAAACTGAAGATGACTGTATCTTTACTCGCTCAGCAAATGTTTTGTTTTTGGGATAAATCATACAAATGAGGTCATGGTTTAGCTGTTTCAACTGTGAATTCATACAAAGCAGTTTATTAACACTGTTTGCAAAGATGCGATTACTCTATCTACAGCCATCCTCGAGAGTCGTCTCAGAACGATACAACACTGGAGAACAAATGGCTGAATTAAACAGTTTATTGCCCCAGGAAAATTATTGCTGTTGGGCCCCTGTTGTTTCCATCAAGTACAGGACACACATCCCACAAAAGATGGAAGCTTTGACCCACAAACCAACATATACTGATATACCAAGTGGCCCCTGTTTATCAGTGTGTTTCAAGTTATTTGCTGAGACATTACTTTATTCAGAAAAATGCACCACGGCAGCACAATATGAACTAAAATAATAAAGGTGCTAAATTAGATTTGGACACAGGGCCCCTCTACAAGATAATGCCACAAGATAGGTCCCAGTTGACACTGTACTTTAGTGATGCAAATAAAGTACAAATTTGCATCACGCTGCCATAAAGCAACTGATACTTGGGACTCCAGGATTCTTTTCCGGGTTGGTACTCCAATTCTGAATAGCACATACAACTGCAGTAAACAACACAAATCAAACATCCCCCTTAACAAAAGACTTGTAGCCTCATCTTAAATTGTCTCACCTGTCAACAAATTAGGCAGCACTTGCTTAAGAAAAATAGTCCAACTTGAAAGCAACAGACAATAGTGCCACTATTAGCGATGCTTTGCCACTATCAAGACGGTATTTTGTTCTTGCTGGTTAATTTAAATAACATTTAAAATCACCTTTATTGTCTAAGTATGTGCACACATACAGGAATCTGACTCTCGTCCAGTCAATGACCTTAAGAAATGCCACAGCAGCTACAAACAAGGACAACAAAGCTACACAAAATAGAAGTGAAGAAAAGACAGGATTATGGATACAAGTAGGGGAAGAAATATGTGAACATATATATATATATATATATATATATATACATATATATAAAAGCACAAATGACTAACAATAAGATTAAAATAAGGATAAAAGATCTACATAGAAGTAGTGTTGTGTAAGCTGTAATCCAAAGTGCAAAGAAATAAAATCTGAATGGTAGACCTGCAACGATTGATCAATAAACCAATTATTCAACAGACAGAAATTAATCTGCAACTTTTTTAACCATCAATGAATAATTTGTCATTTTACAAACACAAATCAAACAATGTGATATCTCCGGGTTCTCAAATGGGAGGATTTGCTGCTTTCTTCGGCCTCACATTACAGTTAATTTATTATTCAAGGGGTTTTGAAATGTTGGTTGGACAAAACAAGACATTTGCTGAAGTCACCTAAGACTCTAACAGGGTTTTCCCGTTGTTTTCTAATGTTTTGTAGACCAAACGATTAATGGAGAAAATACTTTACAGATTAATTGGTAACACAAACATCATCGTCAGGTGCATCGGTGCTGAATGGGTGATTACAGTATGTAACGTTACAGTATGTGCATGTGTACATGTCTGCAAACTACCCATAGCCTGTAGGATTTATATTGACAGTGAAAGACTATGTATTTATTAAAAACATGAAACATTAAGTTAAAACCCGTGAAATTATAACCTATAAATGGGTGCAGTGGATGTTTTGGTGTTACACTACAGGTGTATTGACAGTGTGCGACTGATGAACTGTCCATCAGGGTGATGGACTGTGGAAACAAACTGTTATTGTGTCTAATGTTAGTTGTGTTGGCCTACAGGGCTCTGTAGCGCCTACCAGAGGAGAGAATAATGTATTATTTAACAATATTATCTACCAGTAACTTTAGACACTGGGAGGACTGCAAATGATGTGCCAAACGAGATAAGACATCTAACAGCTGAGGGAGCCACTGTCAGTTGAGCGGTTAGCAAGGTAACAGCTACTCACATTTCTTCAAACTCTTCATCCAGTGTCGCACTATCAGGCTGTGGTACTTCTTGTTGTCGATGCACCATGTTGACAGTCCTTGAATTGAATCCATCGTGTTGGTAACACCCTGAAACTTCCTCTCTAGAGTCGACTCCAGAGAGCCGCCAGAAGCGGCTCCTGCTCCCGCTGCCATGTCCGGAGCAGCCCGCACTAGCCTCGGCTGGCACTTAGCTTAGCATGCTAGCTTAACGTAGCACAGACGCCAATGAATTCGGCAGCCTCTTAGCTGCCATTGAAATGTTACAAAGCTAAAATGTTCGGTATGACGTTACTGTTTAGAATAACCGTCTGTGTCTAGAAATTTCCCACCGTGGGCTTTTATACCACACTTTATAGTCTGTATAAGCTAATATTTAAAGCTAAAATTTAGCGCCTCTCGTCATCCTAGAGGTCTGTTTACTCGTTGCTCGTGGAGGAATGAAGGACACTTCCGCAAAGACGACATGAATATGGCGCCACCTAGTGCCGCGGAAGCTAATATCTGCTAGCGCCACCTGCTGTGTGTTATTGAGCATGTTTCATGATTTTAATCTGTGACACTCTTTAAGTTCCACTCATAAAGAAAATTAGTCCAATAAAAAACTATATAAATCAATTTAAAAAAACATGTTTGCTGTCATTATAAAAGACCTGTTTATGAGTAGAAGCTAAATCTGGATCACTCATTGAGCACTGTTAGGTCTGCAAACCTATATGTACCAGTCTACCAAGGTAAAAGCACAGATGTGTTATTATAAGTATCAAAAGTAAACCTTTTTTATTGAATTTCCCCTTGGGGATGAATAAAGTTATTCTTATTCTATTATTATTCTTATTCTCCTCATGCAGGACTGTCCCTTTAAAAGTATCATACATCATAGTATATAGACTACTTTTAGTTTACTAATACTGATGCATGAATGTGGAGCCAATTTAAAATATTAAAATTATATTGGGAAGTTTAATTTGTAGTAATGCATCAGCATTTGTATGATCATTTTTTTTGTATGTAAATTAATTATTTGCAAATTATCTATAGCTGTCAAATAAATGTAATGGAGCCGAGGCACAAAGTAGCGTAAAATGGGCATGCTCTTTTTCAAAACTCTACTGGCAAGGTAATTATAAATTAATTATAGATTTTTAGTGTTTAATCATGATAAATCAATGAACTGAAAGTGATTAATTAAATCTGCATTTAACTCATGCATAATAAAACACCAATCATGCATTATCCAAAAATAAAAATAAAAAATTACAAGTCAAACTCCTGCCAACAAATATTAGCTGGCAAAGCTCTGACTGCTGCTCTGTGGGTCAGATGGGTCACATCTTAAGATTAATTGAAATGAAAACCTTTAAATGTTAAAGCAGGAGAAATGTAATTAATCAGACCGACTTCAGACAAGCACGGACTAGTGTTTTTTTCACTCCAGGAATCAATCAACATGCTGTATTTTGATGAACCACATCATTAATTTAATATATAAAAATATGTGCATTTTTCAATCAGTCACCAATAATGACAATTTTATTGTAAGAAACAAAAAAATAGCCTGAAACAAAAGGGAACTAAAATCAGGAAAAAAAGAGAGACAGACAAATGGGAATTACTCTACTTTCAGTTTTTCTCCTTTTTCCACAAATGAAAGATGTGTAATGCAGCACAACAAAAAAGTGTAGAGTTGGATGCTACGTTTTAAATGCCAGAACTACAGCTCACTGCACTGTTGTTTCCCACAAACACGCTGAGAGTTTCCATTTTCAATACCATAACTCGGGGCCAATGATAACATCTTCATATACACAGCAGCACATTTGGTTTGCAATGACAAAAATGGTGTGATGATGATTTCACCATCGCTCAATAAATAATACAATGTTCGTATGACTGATGATGGAATTTCAGGCAACTTTATGGTTATCTTTACGTCTACCATATAAGTAAGGCTGACTGGTGACAAACCACCAAAGATGAAACACCATTCAACATGAATGATATCGGATTTAAAATATGGTGGTGCAAATGTCCAGATGCTATCAAAAAAGAACCGATGTGTTCAGGTATGGAAATTTTTGTTTTGTTTCTCACATCTCTGCGATATTCTGTATTACATAATGAAAAGTAAAGCACTTTGAGTGACACGAATTTTATAACAGCAATTCAGTGATACAAATCCATTTTGAATGGGACACAGATGCTGTTCTTACTCCTGATAATGACACACAATACATTTGCAGCATTTAGTGTGAACAATAAGCCTGGCAATCGGCTAAATTGCTTTTTACGCCTTTCAACCAGTTCTATCCACAGTGCCAAAGTTACATTTCAAATAAAACACAATCAAATGACAAGTCTGCCCATAAAGTCTCTGATTCAAGTACCAGTAAACCATCCATCCGTCGATGGAGTCAACATTTTCAAGTGCTGATCCTCCTAAACAGATCTTTAATAAATAATATCACAACTCTTTGATGTTGACAAATGGTGTAACATTTCTTAATTGCCACGCAAAATGCTGTTACATCTACTCCAATGTACACAGGATCAAATATATTATGCACGTTGCATAATTAAAAAAAAAAAAAAAAAAAAGACACTTAAAAGTGTATTGAAATGTGACGTTTTCAACGCTAACAGAGTATCTAACATATTAAAACCAGCCAACCATCTTATATTTCCTCAGCGATCTGGTTGTGGTATTTCCTGTGCAGCATTTTGCTCGTTTACTTAAAGTGCAACTAAATCTACTTTTATTTACATAGACAGGAACAAAATGTTTTGCGTGCACTAGGTGCTAATAAATAAAGACGTATGGTGTGTGTGATATGATAATGCAAAATAATTTTGTTTGGCACAAGTTGGCATTACGCTTTTGCTCCATGTTACAATCAATCAACTGGCAAAATATAAATATAACCTACCTAAATGCCACTTTTAATCACCTGTTTGTATGTTTTTTTTTAACAGCAATAGGGCTGCAAGTAACAATTATCTTCACTACAAATTACGTTGCCAATTATTTCCTTGATTAGTGTTTTAATTAGTGTCTATAAAATGTAAGAAATGGTGAAAAAATGGACATTGCAAGTTGCTGGAGCATAAATCAAACCAAAAGAGGTTCAGTTTCCCATCATAACCACACATATAAGACATTAATTTGGAGCATTTTTGCTTGAAAAATTATTGTATGGACAGCTGACTGATGGTTTTAGCTTCATACTGCCAGCAATGTGTCTTTGGTGATCCAATCACAAGTGGACCTCGCTAAACACAAGTGCAAATGACCACCCAGACACAGTGTGGTCCGATCACTCAAACCATTTGTGGAGTTGGTCTTGGACACATTTGACCACGTCTTTTGTGGTGTAAACGCTTATACGCCCTAACAAGGACCGTGTCATCAATGCAGGACATGTTGGTTGTTTTGGTGACAGTATGCTAATGCTCTATAACTCGCCCCGGGACTCTTTGATCTTCCAGTGATTAGGTGATGTAGGCAGTAATAAAATCTGAATACAAGTGGTCAGCTGGAGACACGATAGGCACAGGTATGAACTGTGATGCGTCTTGGTTGTCCACTTATGTTCAGATCTCTCTGTTTTTTATCAGTAATATGAAATCCTATACTGTTACTATTAGAGCTGCATTCCATGATATGAAAAAAATACAAAACAGAGCACAAACTGCTTTAACGCATTACACATGAAAAGTACATCGAACATCTTTTTAACTTGGTGAAAGTCGATGTTTACAAAAGTCATACTCTTACAAACAGACAATATACACCCATGGTATTATAGTGCAAGAACTCTTGTGTAATCAGAAACCACGCCGGATAGTTAGGGGTTAATAAATGTCTCACAGCATTTCTCCTCCTCCTCCTCCTCCTCCTCTTCTGGTTTTACATGCCTCACTGGCATCACAGACTGGCTCTGCGCCTAACTTTATCTTTATGTAATCAAGTCCACCCTCTGCCTTCACTCAGGCTAGCATGCAGTGGCACCTCCATGTGGTTGCAAGGTCAGCCGAGGCCAGTTAAGGTGACTCAGTTGTGGTTATGATGTCACTTGAGGACACTGAGGTGTCCTGTGTAGCTGGGCTCTTACAAGGGGAGGCCAGAGATATCTCAGACTTTTCTCTCTTGCTACATGAATATAACGGCTTGCTTAAAGTGCCAGCGCTGTATGTAAACACATCTTCAGCTGCTTCAACTGTTTCCTCCTCTGGACTTCTCTGTCTTTTAGGTGATCCAGGTAGACACATGGAAATGGAGTTGAGTGGAGTCGCTGCCTGGCAGCTCCCATGTTGATGGTGCTCATGCGTGGTCAGGACTTTGCAGGAGTTGTCAGGGTCTGACCAGCTCAGTTTTCTCTTCTGGAACAAGAAAGTAAAACCAAAAATAACCATAATGAACCAGGGTCTTAAAGGAAAACCACAGTTCATTACAACTTGAGATGAGTTGAGTTCTTGAAGGTGCAAAGTCAGTGTCATCTGCTAAATAATATTTTCATAGAGGACCCTTTTCTGCTCCTTTTCTGCTCATTTTCAGGTTCGTACTTGTATTTAAAGTTTCTACTAGAACATGTTTACATACTTTAAAGGTCCAGGGTGTAGGATTCAATGTTTTCTACCTGTGACATTGCAAAACAGAAACTACAAAGGCAGACACAAAAACGCAAATGGCCTTATCAAGAGCCAGTGTTTGATTTGTCTGCTCTGGGCTACTGTTGAACTATATGGCAGACTCTGCAGAAGAGGAGCCACTCTGTATGTAGATATAAATGGATCAATCTAAGGTGATAAAAACACAGCCATTCTTATTTTCAGGTGATTATAAACGAATGTTATGATATTGCATGCCATTTCTGTCAATAGATGCCTCTAAATCCTACACACCAGACCTTTAATGGTTAAAAAAAAAAAAAAAAAAAACCACTTCATTTTCCTCTTCCTCAAGCCCAGTCCGCTCTGACTGATAAGTGTCTCTGGGTCTTCCATATCTTGGCATCTCTGCACTATCAGTGCAGCTGAGGAATGATGTAACAGAGAACAGCAGCAATTTTTACAGTGAAAAATCACCAATAAAAGCTTCTAAACACAACCGCACATCTCCAGCAGGGACATGATCCAAAAATTACATAGTTCCCTGACGTTAGCATGTAGCTACATGTACATTAGCAGTGCACTTGTTATCATATGACAGACATAACATCCAACGTGAAGCTCACCTTAACTGGCATGTGGAGCTGGTTTTGGCGCCAGTGTGGTTGGAGTCTGGGAGTGGTGGTCTGGCTCGGTACATCTTTGGACTGAAATGCCACCTGAGGGAACCATATTTTGAGTAACATCTCTATTTGCAGAAGGGTTTGAAGGTATTTCTCACTGCAGAAAAAAAAATAAAAAACAGGCATTAATGACAACAGCTCCATTTTCACTACTGTCATAATATGAGGCTTGCTACTTGTTGTTGGTCTTACCCCATCTCAGGTCTTTGTAGAACTCCAAGAATCCTTTGCAATCTGTCCATGGCAACACTCTGCTGGAAAGTGGATAAACCTGCAAATATAAAAATAATATACCATCCATCCATGTCAAGGCAAATATGCACTTAAATATCAAGAGGCACTAAAACTTGAGAAGAGATGGTACTCATGTTCAATGCTTAATCACATACCTTTGTGAAATCGCCCGGTCTTTAGTCCATGTAGAAGCTCAAGCAAAGGGCGGATAAACTTCTGCAGATCTGCACACTGAGAAAATAAGAAGAAGGAGAAGTTTTACTACTCCAACTCATCTGCTATTTTGTCGACAGAAATACTGAAACAAAGAAATAGGAATGAGTTTAAGGGTGCTCACCTTCTGAGCGAAGGCCAGGTCCCCAGGCGTCGCTGAAGGTGAGCCTAACCTGGCAGCTCCTGGAGAAGACGTTTGGTTCAGATGCTTAGTTTTGTCTGGGCAGCATTCAGGCTGGTTGATTTTAGACCTCGAATGCAGCCGATCTGAATGAGCTGGGAAACGGAGGTAATTCCCAGAGAGTGTGATTCTTTCACCCGAGGGAGACTTTCTTGTTCCACTGTACCCTTCTCCCTCGGAGAAGACGTCTGCTTCATCCTCAGTATGCTCGCTCTCACTGACGATGAAGCTCGAGCAGGAGGTTAGCGAGTCATACGACGGCCATTTGGAAGAGCTGCCCAGTGCATTCATCTGTGGAGACAAGGACATAATGATATCCAATGTTCATTAAGCACAAGCTTTCGCACTGAGCAAACTCAGGTAGGGTTGCAGTATGGAGTGCTGCAGGAATGACTCCTAAATCTTGGAAATGAGTTAGCATTTTAGTAACAGTTCTCTCATCAAGAAGTCAATGGGTTTTTTGAAAAAGGTTTTTGGTTAGATGCCCGAAATAAAAACTGAGGTTAAAACAACCTCAAGAGATTTTCATGTTTTGTTCTACAACATAAAATACACCATTTAATACCCCACTCATGAATTCTGAAGCATTTATGTGTCTAAAAAAGATGGTTGCTAACATTTGGCTAAATGAGTCTATTTTCTGCAATAATCCAAAAGCCAAATCTAGTCTACAAATAAACATCATCCTTGCAGCACTCCATTACATTATCAGTATACTACATACTAAAGGAAACCTATCAACATCTCCCAATTGCACAAATCAATGCATACCTATGATATTCCCATCCCCATAGCGATTATTCTGTCAAGCATTTAGTGCACTGTGATACTGGCTAAATAAAAGGTCACCGTACTTTTGCTCAAATATTTCAGTATTACTACTTTTTAGAAGATATTGACACACATATTCCTCATCATATTACTCATAATACTCAGTTATATGTGTGCAAATTTAGAAACTGTGTAATGGAGGCTTTAAAGACAAAAAATACAGGCCATATCACTGCAAAAATATATTTTCTCATAAAAAATCCTAATATTGACATTATATCAACCCTTAATACCAAGTAAAGGGTGTGTATGAACCTTAACGTGTTCATATTGTAGTCTACATCCAGCAAAAGAACCATGCAGTATCATGCAGTACAAATTATAAATGGTACGGAAGAACTGTGAGTAATATCTTCACCCAGTCTCAGCAAGTGCAATGTAATTGAGATGAGGACATGGCAAGAGATTAAGGATAGACCGATACATCGGCCAGCAGATATATCGGGCCGATATATTTGAGTTTTTTACTTGTATCGGCATCGGCCAATACAGGCGTGGGTTTGCGGATTTATTTTTCCCTGGCACTTTTTTTCATTTGAAAGTATGTGGTTAAGTTGAACAAAGCTGTTGAATCCTACTGTGTACAGTAGTTGTTGTTTTATTTATGCTTCATCTTAAATATTTGTTTATTTTATAAAGACATTACTGGAAGATTTAAGAGCACTGAACTCTTTTTTTTCTTTGAATGTATAATAATAATAATAATAATAATAATAATAATATTCTACCTGTTCTACCTCAACTTTCCATCTTGTTTTAGTATTTTTTACTGTTCAATAAATGTTTCTTATTTTAAACTTGAGACCTGTAATATTTGTTATCATTGTGTCATTTTTTTAATGTAAATTGAGGGAGCAAAAGCAGTATCGGCCCCAAATATCGGCTCAAGAAAATCGGCAGTCCATAATCGGTCATCGGCTAAGGGTGATGGAAAAAAATCGGTATCGGCATTGGCCCTAAAAGATCCATATCGGTCTATCCCTACAAGAGATCACGTCTGATAAACAATCACATAGGAAGAGAGATCAAATCAGTGCAAGCAGTGCCATGACTCATAAGTATTCACTCTAAAAAGAGACACGTGTGCGTGTGTGTGTGTTCACATCTATCTTTGTGAGACTCAATTTGAGTTTTAGACCTCAAGTGAGGACACTCTGGCTCCTCGCCTTCAGACAGACCTTCAAAGGCCTGTTTGAGGGTTCAGACTTGGTTTTAAGGTTCAGGTTAGAGTTTAGGCTTTCATTAGTAATGGTTAAGGGTTAGGGCGAGGGGCTAGGGAGTGAGTTATATCAGTGAAGTTTCCTCAAACGTATAGCAGTGCAAAGGTTTGCTCTGTGCTCTAGTAGAAAGTGCTTGGCCATCTGAGCACAGATGTTAAACATCACACCCACTTTTTACTCTGCTTACCTCCTATAACCCGAACAGCAATAACAAACCCTCCTATAACTTCAACAGCAATAACAAACCCTCCTATAACTTCAACAGCAATAACAAACCCTCCTATAACTTCAACAGCAATAACAAGCCCTCCTATAACCTCTACAGAAATAAGAATGCCTTGAACCACTTTGTTGTTTTACCCCCTGCGCATTCTCCTTGTACATTGCACACAATCTCTATGTCTGAACTTTTGCATATACTTGCATATACTATATTTTTGCACATAATGCACCAAACCAATGAAACTATAAAGATTATAGTTTCCCTCCACATTACTGCACAGCTCTCGGTTCACTTATATTGTACATATATTATTGTAGCCTATGTTTTTCATATTTTCATTGTACTTTTGCTCATTTATATTTATGTTATAGACTTTTACAGTACTTTGCTTTTTTTAAATTTCTGCTAAATATGTTTATTGTATGCACCAAACACCAAGGCACATCACTTGTTAGTGAAACCAACTTGGAAGTAAACCTTATTCTGATTCTTAAGTTGCTTGACGTTAAATATTTTTGAGAAAACAGGAAAAAACATCCATAAAAACAGTATATAAATTATGACGTCAGCGATGCCGCCGGAAGTCAGCTAAGCTAGTTAGACAATTTGTAAGATATGACCAAAAATGGCTACTTCACGTTATTCTATTTAACGTATTAACAAATGTACAAGTCGAGTATGAAAACAGGTTTCTTTCTCTAAACATAAAAAATGTCAGAGGAGAGTTCTTACCTTCTAGCTGGAGCAGAACTGGATTCACAAAAACGGTCAAACAAAACGGAGGCGCTCGTGCGGGCACGTTTCGCTGCTTAAAGTAGTTGAACAATTCCCAGTCGTACAGAAGTGACCTCAAAGAAGCTAACGGCTATCTCTGGAAGTAACGATGTGTAGGCACAGTCTGTATCACGGTCAGTATTTGCGCTCAGTCCCACCCTGTTCCTTCTACCTCGGCCCGTGTTTCGTTTACTTTGTCAGACTTCCAACCTGTTCGAAATGTACCCACGCAACTGACGCTACACGTGCTGGGAAGGTACAGAGCCGCGATTGGCTGAAGGGGGATTCCATCTGTTCCTCATTGGCTCATAGGCTTGGCCAATCAGAGGCATTCGCAGCGCCGATTGGCTGCCGAGTGCGAAGTTCCCACCGCACCTCTCACTGCAGCACGTGTGGGTGGTGTGGCTGCTGGAGGAAGACAGGGACAGCACGCGGCAGTTGGCATGTGCTGAACATTTTGGTATGCAAATAAGGTCACATGTGTTATTAGATACAATACTGTGGGGGGAATAACAGCGTAGTAACGTGTCAAGCTGCTGGTGTTTACAGTGTGCCGGTGTGTTTCTGTAAGTGTGTGTGTGTGTTGGAGAGAGAAAAATGTCCAGACATGAAGGAATGTATGTTCATTGTCATGGGGTGTTTCGGGTGTTTCCAGAGGCCTCATTCAAACGTGGTGTACGTGCTTCATGTGAGGAGCCGCTGGGTGTCTCGAAATTAACATAAGATGAGGACTTTGTAGGTGATCCAGAGTCCCATGGTAAACACTCTGGACCGGATCGAGTGTTACACAACATTGTTTTGCCTCTCCTCGCGCTGTTGTAATACGTGACTCTGTAAGTGAGACACAGTGTATAAAGCTGAGGGGATTCATTTATTGGGATATTTGGGTCTATGCAAAGCTGCACCACAATCTTCTCTGACTTCAGATCTGTTAGCCTGTAGTATATATTCAAGTAAGGACAAGTGAAGCTCAAGCTCTCCACATCAGGATGTGTGTGTGTGTGTGTTTACCTTTTGTGCAAAGCTGTCTTTTATTTCTCCATAAAGATACACCTACTACATTATGGGACAGGCTAGATGTGTGATTTAGCCATGGGTGTATTATATATTATTATATATAATTATAATATTGTTCAATAATCCCTCCATCATAATGGCAAGCCCTATTAACATGTGGCCATCCTCCTACTCCACTTTCTCCCAAATGATCATAAAACATCCTGTAATTTTGATAAAGTGCACCTGGTAGGCCCAGCAGATACTCGAGGCATGAAAAAGCTTCTTTTTTTTTTTTTAAATCAATTCTTGGCTGCACTTTTAAGGAATAGTGTGCACTTTGAGTAAATTGAGCCAAATTGGAGTGTTGTTTGTTTGTGCTGGAGGAGCTTCTTTGTTCAAGTTGAAGTGAACGCTGATAAGACAGACGAGATTATGAGATGTGGCATCATAGGCCTATTAGAGCTGGAGACAGAAAGCTTGGGACGCACAGTCTTACATAGTTACATAATAAAATTGCTTTATGCTGAAGAGTGAATCACATATTTTGTCGCATGCAGAAATAGGATGCTGTTATCTGCAGGAGGCTGTGGCAACTACTTGATGAGCTGACACGGCTGCTTATAACCACAAGGAACATGTTTATGATTATCACCATAATAATAATGATGATGATAACAATTAGTTACTTGTTTAGGGAACAAGTAACAGGAGCTAGAGGCATGGGAGAATGAAAGGAAGAGGGAGTGTCAATGAGCCAGGCGGTCAAACCGCTGTGAAACATAATTATAGTTCAAACAATAGTGATGGATTACCCTTGTTGTTGCCATTATCACAAAATGACTTGATTATGAGTTGGGCAGAGCTCCCAAGAGGCTGTCGAGTTTCCAAGCAGTCTGCACTGGGTGCCCATGCATATCAGCAGATCATTGATGTCCTTGTGTGTCGTCCTTGTCCAGAGCTTCTTGATATGAAAACAGGCTTGATGCATGCTCCCGAGGTATGCATGTGGAAATTTACTTCCACTTGTTTTGATTGCAAAATAGATACCATCACCATGCAAATAGCATTGAACGATAATATCGGTTAACCTGCATGTGCCCTCTGCTGTTAGGCAGCTTTTTCAGTGGGAACTGGGCTACAAAAGAAACATAAGCAAGTTTGGTTGATGGTTATGTTGCAATTTAGAGATTATGAGAAAATAATCCAGATTGTAATTAAGCCGTGGAATATATAACATATACCAAGGGTCTTCAATGTTTGTCAGGCCAAGGACCCCTTAGGTCAAATAGAGACGGAGCAGGGACCCCCACTACATATATCACCTTGCCATTAAAGATAGGTGCTGCACTGTGATTTAACGTTAGCTAGCTCACGGTTGCACAAGAATCAGGAACAATTAGCCAATCATTAATGTTGAGTACTGTAAATTAAATGGGTTTCTTTCAATGAACAAGCCAATTTATCTTTGCTTATATGTTGGATTCATGTTAATGTATATTTTCAACACACTTAAAGGAGCTATATGTAAGAAATCTAAAGCAAATAGTCATAAAATCCTCCTAATATGTCACAGAGACTAAGAAATAATGTCCATATAACATACTGATCTCACCGACAACAATAGTACAGCCAAAATATTTGCATTTAAAAAACATTTTTACAGTCCGCAAATCATGTTTATGTTTTGAATTGTGTTTTGGCCTGTTGCGCCACCCACCGCTGTCTACCAGTCACGCAGTCGGTAGAGTCTCAGCATCAGTTACAGTTACGACTGAGCTACAGCAGCACGGCAGGCAGCATTAGCAGTGTCCTGGTACATAGCATTAGCTGCCGGCTCCTCCTCCGCTGTATCCCGGCAGCAGCGTTAGCAGCAGAGAAGTCTGACTTGCTCGAACGGTCCGCTGGAAAATCGAAGATCAAGGACGCGGCGACGCGGCCCTGCCACGGAAGCCGCCCGTGGGCAAACAAATCAGTCTCCAGCGTGCCGCTGTCCAGCAACCTCGAATCTGTGGTGGAGGGGGGGCGGACACGACTCACAGCAGTATTTTGAATTTGAGTGCAGTAACCGTTTTGGCCACATTCTTACATACAGCGCCTTTAAATTTTGTTTAAAAAAAACCCCTTAAATTATCAGACAATTTAGTGGCCCCAGTGCATAACTCTGAGGACCCCCTGTTGTAGACCCAGGGCATATACTGTATATCATTTTATTTATTTCAGTGGTGGCAACATTTGAGTTCAAGGCCTAAATACAAATGAAAAAAATCTCAAACAAAATCCTGAATTAGAATAAAGTGATTCATCAGATTATATAAGTTACTTATGTTGTTTGATTGCTGCTAGACTGCCCTGTTACAAAGGTGCAGGCCACACTTTGTTTGTGGCAAACAGATGAGCAAAGAGATTATTGATCTCAGTGAAAATGTCATTTTTGAAACTCTTAACACCAGCGAATATGGACTGAAGCAGGATATGACATTAGATAAAACATGTTGTGAAATTTGGAAATGATTATGTCCATCTTTTTTCAATGCTTTTTGACATTTAGACTTTACAACGCTGTGGTGTAACTGGATGTGTTTGGATCACAGGAGTTGGAAAAACAATCCTATGCAACCACCACATGAATGTAATTCTACAAGTAGTATAATATTTGAATATTTGAATGTTGATTTTGAATTCAAATGTCAAGCAGTAATCTATTCCTTACCCTATTTTAGATAGTCTTTTTTTCTGAGTTTCATAGTTATTAGCTGTTTGTGTCATCTAAATTATATTACAATTAAGCATGAGCAGCAGCCAGTATGTTACACCACTGCATGAGTAAAAGCTGTTGGATATGTATAAGGACTTTGTTCGAGGACAGAGAACTGCTGTCCATGGTTCTAACCAGGTGTGTGCAGGTTTTTGGGATGACAGGTGGCCCAAAAATGGATATTTAAAGCACTGACATATGGTCTTTATTTGTCTGTGATAAAGGAAGCAGCGTTGTGTTTGCATGTCCATGTTGGGAAGGAGCCAACAAAAACATTACCACATTTTGCAATCATATTACTTAACACTGACACTGACTGCACAACCCAAGTGTGCTGCATAGATCGTGCAGAGGGCATGAACCATAGTGCCAAGAAACGTTTTCACATACGTAGCCATTGAGAGATACTTGTTTGTGCCACCACAATACAGCAAAGGTGAAAGGAAAATCCACAGTAAGAAGAACGCTTTTTCTGGAAACATGCATTTAAGTTTTTAACCACTTAAGATAAGAAAGAAAAGGTCCTTTTAAAAGCAGATAAAATGACCCTGTAATACAGTCAGTTTCTTTCAGTGTAAATATATAGGTCATCTATCGTACTACTCTCTGTTCCTTACAGTGCCACCCATTGACTAAAGCCACAGGACAGGATATCAACATGACCTAGTAACCTCTAAGACAAGTGAGCCTGCTGCAAATGTTTAACTCTGCCTGCGTGAGGGGAGCAAGAGCAAGTGCAAACATTAAAGTCCCCTGTGGTGAAAGCTCGAGGCCTGACACACACGCCTGGCCAGTGTGTCTCGCTGATGGGGGTTTGCGGGAGGTGGCCGACATCATCGGTGGACATTAACGCCACACTGTGCAGTAGTGACCTTGAACTGATTAACAACTGGATGCTACTGAGCTGAGAGCCCATTCTCACAAAATAGCCCCTGTGTTGTTTGAGTTTTCTCAAGCAAATAAGGTCACTTTGAACTACTTCCAAAGCTTTTATGTGCAAAATATCACTTTATGCCATATGATACGCTAGAGAGCAGTTTGTCTTTGTTGTTTAAAAGGTACAGTGTGCAAGATTTAAGGGATTTAGTGGCATCAGGCCGCAAGGATTGCAGATTGCAACCTGCTGCAACTTCCCACAAATAGAATTCCTACAGTTTTCGTTGATAAGGGTTGTTTTTTTTTTTTTTTACCAGGAGCTGAATCATCCCCAGACGTCTCCTCCTCTCCAAAACAAACAGACCCGCTAATTTAAACCAGTAGTGAATAAAGCAGCTCATTCTAAGGTCACAAAAACACAACGGTTGGTTATACACTAAAGAAAACATATCTATAATATTCCATTTCTGCCTATATATCCCCCTAAATCTTACACACTGGACTTTTAAATAGATGTTTAAGTGTGATAAAAACTTGTCCAGCAACTTAAGATTTTCAGAAATAGTCACACATTTATTTGCTTTTTCATTGGCAA